CGACAGCTCGCTCATGGAATCGTGCTAAAACACGCGGTCTATAATCTTTGAAAATTCAAATTGTTAATGTTTTTTTATTTGAATGAATTCTTATTTAATTTTATTTTCTAAAGTATTACCTACACTCCCCGCAAGTGGATTCCCAGTTAAGCGTAGATTTTCCAATATGGGTAAACAGGCTATATTATCAACTTCTTCCAAATCTTCAATTTGATTACAACTAACATCTAAATTCACTAACGATAAGAGTTTACGCAAACCAGTTAGTTTTTTCAATCTGTTTTGAGCAAGATTAAGTGTGACCAAATTTCCCAATTCCATGTGCCAATCAATGCATTCCATTATAAGATTAGCGGACAATGATAGCACCTGCAAATGTGACATTTCTGCCAAATTCTGTATTGCACTTATGCGATTTTGTTCAAGTCGCAATTCCTGTAAATTTGGTGTGGTCCGCACGCTGGAATCGATTTGTGTGAGTAAATTACATGTTAAATCTATTTTCGTTATGTTTGACCAAACGCTGCGTTTATCGGTAACAACAGATGTTGATATCGCTCCGTTGCTGTTGCTGTTACTGCTACTCGCAGCTGCCAATTCCTTATGCAAATTATCACAGAGTAACACTTGATTCAAATGTGTTATTGTGGTATTGTGCACACAAATGCTGGCTAGTGTAGGCTTCAAGAGCGCTATATCAATTATATTTTCAGTTGATATGCCATAAAACTTCAATGTTTTTAAATTACGGAATGCATTCAAATTGAAAGATAACGTTTTTGGTATGATATTACTGCGTCCTATAGGCACGTCAACGGTGTTATAGTCATTTTCAAATGAGGTATTATCCTATACAAATTAAAATAATCTATAAATATTAAAAAAAAAAAATTTTAATAAATAACTAACTTTAACGGGCGTTATCACTAAAATTTCGAGTTGTGTACAAAAATCCAAAACGTGTGAAAAATCAAAAATTCCTCGCTGCTCGATGTTTTCTGGTGGACATGGCAAACTTAAACGCTCACTTATCGCATAAGCCTAAACAATATGTAAATTTATATTGAATTATTATTATAGTTTGTATATATAGATAATTAAGTATACCTCTAAGGCCGATAGATGAAATTCCTTTTTAGAACTTAATAAACTTTCGCCGTTTTCATGAAATAATTTTGCCAAGTCCTGTAGCAAATAAATTATATCGTATTTGTTAAAATCCAGAAACTCAGCCAATACTCGTGGTAATTGTATACGAAAGAAAACCAGTAGTTCATGCAAATATTTTTCCAACTGCTCTCGACGTTGTTCCAAAAACGCCGGATTTTTATTGCCTACAATCTTTATAAGTACAAAATAAGATTAATTGAGATTAAAAGATTAATTGACAAAAATAACATAATAACTCCCAAACTAAATATCGACACCCACTGTTAAGTAATGAATAATGGTTTGGTTCAACTATTCAGTACAACCTTTATATATATATGAAAACAAAATTCGTCGACTTACAACTCAGAGCGGTTGGAATGAGTTTAGAGCCCATTTAAGTTGGTGAATTCACTTTTAAAGAAATTGAAAGCACCAAATACTTGGGTGTCCTCATTTATAACAATAATGATATCCAAGCATACAAACACTGGTATCCAAGACAGAATTGTGGTAGCAAACAGAAGTTATTCTAAGATAGTCTAAGATATCTTAGACTAATCTAAGATCAAATCTAAGATAGTGACCAGAAGCGACAAAATACACGCTTACAAGGCAATCGTCCGCTTGGTATTAGGCCACGTATAAGAGGACCCGACAATGTGACCGACGACATCAGAAAAATGGGTATTCAAAATTGTAGGTCTAAAACAACATGCAAAGCAGAATTAATAAAGCTGGCTGATGCAGCCTAAGCTCAACCGGAGCTGTAACGCTGGTTATGATCTTCTTTGTCCTACATAACAGATAATTACAATAGTTTATTTTTAAGCGATTCAAAACTTTTTAATATAAATTTAAGAAACATTTTAAAATATTACGGTTTCAAATTTGAACTACACAAAAAAACTTCATATTTATGCTAGACCATAAACAGTAAAGGAAATGATATATATATATTATTTAAATTATAATGAAGAGAGCTTACAGTTCATAGTTTACCAAGTTCTCATAGTTGGCGATACTTTCAACATACTCCCATAAGTGTAGGGTATATTTTTAAAAAGTTCTCTTATAAGAACCGATACAGAGTACAGAACAGAACAGGGTAAAACTCACGATTTTTATTCACATTCACCAGAGCTAACTGCATTTATTAAGAAAATGAAACTATTCGTAATAGGAAATCCTAAGCAAACTGTGTGAGGTCCACAAAGAATTGCATTTTGTTGTTTTATGTTATATTATGCCCCAAATAGCCATAGTTGTTCTTCCAGAGTGGGTGAGTTTGGGAACTTCATGCTTATAAATATTGACATACCTTTTTAGGCGGCAATAATTTCTTTGATATTGATATATCATTAACCAGTTTCTCATTTAGTTGGTCGAAATCCTTATACCGTCGTTCCACCATCCACTCTACTTGGCGCACTCGAACTTTAATATCATAATAGGTTACACCAGTTGAAGATTCGTTATATTTTGGTATTGTTACTTCAGTATCACCGTTTTGTCGAAAATAACACGACATTTTTAATATTAAAAATGTTTCCTTGAAATTAATTAATTATTAACAAGCTTTACTTTTACATGAAAAAGACACACTTTTACTTTTATATATACATTGAAATATATACTGATATTAAACCAACCTTAAACGAAAATATTTATATTTACAATCTTATTAATAATTATTGCATATTTCTTTCATTAAATAACAAGTAAATTTTCGCCGAATTGTGTAAAAGTTTTCTAAGTTAAGCATTACGTTATGATCAGTTGTTCATTTGACATATATATGTTTACTCATCCATGAACAACACAGTGAACTTCAAACTGCTAGGAATTACGAACGTCAAAATGAGAAACAAGCGATATAACGTCAACAACGTAATTGAACGTAGCAAAAACGTATTTGACGCTTTGTTTAAATAGGAGTTACGATATTAATTTTAGTTAAATTTGGTTGTTAAAGTAGAAAAATTTTTTTGTTTAAAAATAATATATTAAATACTAAAATGTGTGATGATTGTTGAATGATATTTTCTACTTTTAGTTCCTATAGTTGAGCTTACAAGACGTTGCAGATTTAAAAACACAGTGGACTTAACTTGATCTTAATTAATTTTATTATTAATATTCATAAATTTTATAGCTTTATTTATATATACTCTATAACTAATATGAGTCCCTGATCACGAACTTTTTTTTAACTTAATTGAATTTTAAAATTTAAAACATACTTAATGACTTCAATAATTTAGAAAGATGTATACTTGCTATGGAAAATAAATAAATAACAAAACAAAAAAAAATACTAAAATATTAATAAATTAGTATTAAAGTTTGTGGTTAATTATTTCATCAAATAATAATTTTTTAATTTATAAGCTAGGGAAGCAACTTGTATATGAAGTGGTCATGTTTAATAACCTAATGATATCATTACGTAGATTACGAACCCAAGAATATACGCCTGATGCAATTTCAAAGGTAAACACAGCCAATTAGCCTCGACAGTCCGCTGTTCTTAGGTTAACATGAATTTAATTGGAAGTTTCAGTTTGTTGTGTCCAGTTCGAAAACCGATATCAAAAGTACAAAAACTTAAGAAAATCACCAGGAGGTTAATTAACAGATTTGACAAAAAGTCTTCTGGTGAGTGAACAATGCTCCATATTGATGCTGACTGCGTTAGAAACAATTTTTTAACAGAATGCACATATTTCAATGAGACTGCACATATAGTAGTTTGAAGAAGTTGCTGTTCAGTTTTACGACTTTGTCAAACAAAGCAAATGTGTAAACAACAGAAATTATGTTTGTAGTTTTTTTGTACTAATAGCTTTGATAAAATAATAAGAGTTGTGGTTAAAATAGAGTTGCACTGAAGCTATGTATTTGCTAGATAATAAATATTCGATATAATTAACAAATGAAATACCCAACATTTTTTAAAATTTTAAAGGCATCGTCAATATGTACTCAAGATATAATTTTTATTAATGCAGATTTCTTGATTCATTGAAATTTCTTCATAAAATCACAATAGTTTTGTTTTGTCTTATACAGCATTTACACTGGCCAAAAATCGCTCATTTTGGTCAAAAATCGAAAAATGAGAAGCGAATGGCTCATTCTTGCATACAAAATTTCAAGTGCGAATGAGATCCATTTCATAACATTCATGAATGTGTCCTAACGACATTCAAATGCGTTCCAAATATGTTCCAAATGCAAACGAATACATTGAACATACCCTAAATAAAATGACTCATTCAAAATGCGCCATTTTCGGTCAGTGTAAACGCCCTATTACTTAATTGCTTGCTGGAGATTATAGTTATAAGATTGTTTACATTTCTTCTTAATCTTTGGCGTTTTGTTATAGCATATTTCAATGCTATGAACATCGCGTAATTAGAGTGTAGTAAAAGTATTAGTGACAAATTTAAAGCACTCCTTTTTTATATACATAAGCGTGATTAGGTGAATAGGTTGGAAATCCTAATAGATCCGTAGGAATGATCAGATTAGAGTTTTTAAATACAGTTAATGAAGATAAATATAACTTAAATGTGTCTTTCAACGAATTTTGCGAGATAGATCACACTTTTATGTCTTTAGATAATTTTAAGTGATAGTTCACACTAATAATTCGCCAGGTATATAATATTTATATGATAAAGTCAAAAAAATCCACTGTAAGCACTCGCAATGGTTCTCAAACTGTTGAGTCAGCTGTTCTCTGCATCAGCTTTTAAAAATATTTTTGTTTACTCTACGATTTGTTGGCAATGTAAAGTTTTTAAGCCTATTTAAATTCATTAAAATTAATTTGCAAATCTACTTCGTTTTGTAAATAATGAAATTATTTAAAGAAATAAAATAAACAATTAGAGAAAATCAATAACAAAAAAATACGCGATGGCGTTTTTAGAAGACTGCATTATAGTGTTCGTTTCACAGGTTGGTGCGAGGCCCGGCATGTTAATCCATAAAGTAATATTTTTAATTTTTTTATATAGGTTCTTTTTTTTGCTGGTGGTTGGATATTTTTTCACAAGCAACTTTTTAAGAATTATGAAATTCGTCACATATCCGTGCAATTAATATTTTCAATTACATTTGCCTTATCCATAACAATGTTTGAGTTGATTATTTTCGAAATTCTGGGTGTGCTGGAATCAAGTTCAAGATATTTTCATTGGCGTTTAGGTTTAACGCTTTTACTACTGATGGTCATAGCAGTTATTCCACTTTATATATTATATTCTGTAATACATAGCATTTCGTTTGGTTAGTTTATTTTTTTTTTTGCTTTATTACAAATATTTAACTTTATGTTAATGTTAATGTAATTAAATATTTTATTCAAATCATTTATTATTTACAGTTTCTGACAAATGGGTGCGAATAATCACTATGATATGTTGGTTCGCGTTTCTTTATGGTCTTTGGAAAATTGGTGATCCATTCCCATTGCTAAGTGTTTCTCATGGCATATTTACAATAGAGCAAGGTGTTTCACGTATAGGCGTGATTGGTGTTACTGTTATGGCCATACTTTCAGGATTTGGTGCAGTTAATTGTCCATATCAAAGCATGACATATTTTATAAAGTAGATAAATTAATTTATTATAATGATTTAATTTAATTTAATATGGAATTTAATATTCAGGCCTGTGTCCCAAAGCGACGTCATAAATTTAGAACGACGACTAGCGTTGACCGTGGATATGATAACTGGCAAAAAGAAACGCATTGCATTGGAAATGCATAAACGCAATAAAAGCAATCAAAGCAAACCGCGTATATGGACATTTCTGAGTTCGGCAGTAAATCGTGTAGATATTGGTGGGGAAAGTAAGAAATTTATTATATTCTTCTGACATATATAAGAAATTTATAATTTTATTTACTTAGATATAAATCAGCTACGTATGGAAATATATGGCTTGGAGGAGTTATTACGACAACTGTTTCTAGAAATAAACTCATTAAAAAATATGCAGGAACGGCAAAAATGGTCTCAAACTTTGCAGGGAAAATATTTCAATGTTATTGGACATTTTTTCAGTGTTTATTGTCTTTGGAAAATTTTTATAGTAAGCTGTAAATTTCTTAAATAATTTCATCTCTTTATATAAAATTCCATATAAATTTAGTGTACTGTAAATATAATTTTTGATCGCGTCGGTAGAAAAGATCCAGTAACACGTGGCCTCGAGATAGCAGTACATTGGTGTGGTTTTGATATCGATTTGGCATTTTGGAATCAGCATATATCTTTTTTACTTGTTGGCTGTATTGTTGTTACATCCATACGTGGCCTTTTGCTTACTTTAACAAAGGTAATTTTTATTGTAGCTCATAAAAAGGAAATACCATCAATGATGTACACGAGTGGGTGGGTAAAAATTTCTAACCATTTTTTAGTAGACATAATATGTTTTTCTTTTAATGATGTTTTCATAAAAACTGAATTAGTTTTTAAAAATTCCTTTTAAACAGCTATTAGCTGTGGTACGTATTCTTATAAAACAAATCAAACATAAAATTAGAAAAATTATTTATTAGATCCATGCCAAACATACCGGAGCATGTATATATAAAACAAGTATATTTCTACTATAGGTATGTGATATGCATTTAACTGCGTTTACAGGTTGGCTGTAAAACTTTATTTTTTCTGAGTATATGGTACAAAAATAGCTCTTAGGTATGAATTGGGCTGTTGAAGAAGCTCAAGCTCCACTAAAATCAATCAACCTAGGATTGATAGATTTATATATTTTTCTTTTTTTTGTTTATTTAAATTGGGTTAATCTTAGTTATCGATATATATATATACCCTTATACAACTATCACAATATTGATACACATATTATACTTAATATTGTCTAAAAATACGATGCGCGAGAAAACAAGACTGAAGGAGAATGAAGCAAGAAAGGGGTTAGAGAAAGTTGAAAAAGAGGCAAGAAAGAAGCAAAAGAGGTGTGTGAGAAGCGAGGGAAACACATTAGAGACCTGTAAAAGGCAAAAAAATTGGCGAGAATAAGGTCAGAAAGACACGAAAATGAGGCGACAGAGATTTGACAGAGACCCGAGAGGAATGTGAAAGAAATGATAGAGAGAGACGAAAATGGGCATGTGTACCAAAACGATATTACAGTTCAAAAAATAGTTGAGAATGAGGCAAGAAAGACACGAAAATGAGGCGACAAAGATTTGACAGAGACCCGAGAGGAATGTGAAAGAAATGATAGAGAGAGACGAAAATGGGCATGTGTACCAAAACGATATTATATATCATACTACAGACTTTATTTTTATATTAAATATTTGATGATCGGATTACACTGTGTATCACTAAATTCTCTTTTTTAATTTTTAATGAGTCTGAGGTAATAATGGTTTAAAGGATTAATAAAGAATGTTTATTTTAAGTGATACGAAATTCGTGTCTTCTATAAACATTTTTGCCTTAGACAAATTTTCCTGGAGTCGCTTCAATTAACCTATAATCATCTAAAATAAACTTACTTTTTTTAATTAAATGCTTATAATTAAATATCTGTTTAGTTTTTTTATAGAATATCATCCAGTAAATCATCAAATATTATCGTTTTAATATTAGCACAAATTATGGGCATGTATTTTTGCTCATCAGTACTTTTGATGCGAATGAATATGCCTGCAGAATATCGTGTGATTATTACTGAAGTACTTGGTAGTTTGCATTTCAATTTTTATCATCGTTGGTTTGATGTGATATTTTTAGTGAGCGCCATAACAACAATTCTGGTATTGTATGTATCTCAAAAACCAGGAAACTATGATTCCACTATAGACTAATAGCTAATTAATGTATATAATTAAATTATTAATTATTTCTATTTATGATTATTTAATAATTATTTTGATAAATAATTTCATTTTTGTATGACTTCCAATTGAATACTATATATAAATTGTACATTTATTACACACAGCCATTATTTTAATTTAGTTATTTTAAAATAATTTTATTACTTCTTAATTCTTGCACAATTGTATTTTAAAGTTATTTAAAAATTTATTATATTCTCACTGTTTGTATAATAAATTTATGTACTATTTTATATTATATTTATTATGAAACCTATTTAATTTATATATATATATATTGTATGTTATTATATTATTCAATTATCAAATAAAAATTGTAACACTGTCATTTATTTATGTAACTGTAATACTAAATTAGTTTGCCCATAAATAATTTTGTATTCTTCAAACATGTATGTTGTTTTTTATGAAATAAGTTTCTTAAGTATTATTATAGCAGACTAAAAGTATATAAATCAATTATGTTGTCTATATTAGACACCTGCTGAAACAGTTCTAAGTCAACAAAATATTTAATTCAATTACAATTCTCAACATGTTCGCACGCAATGCGTAATTATAAAAACATATTTACACTTGGAGTCACGCAAACAGTGTCATATCTTAAACGGAATTATAAAATTCGGGTTTCTTTCCGCAGATGACATATACAATTATTTTCGTTTGCTTTGTAAAAAGTCTATAATATCAAAAAATTAGATTATTTGTATAAATATTAAGATATTCAAGATATAATATGAAAGGAACAAAATGATCTTATAAGGGAAGTTTAAGTGAATTTTAAAATTTCAGAATGAGTGGCAGGAGAAGAAATAGGTTATTTTACCTTACGTTCTCTTTTATTATATTATGCCATCCTTGAATTCTAGCGAAGCATAGAGCCCCTATAAATTTTCTGAATCGAGTTTTGTCTGGAACATAAATCAGTTCTTATCTGTAGTTAAATAAATCCCTACGTTTATAAACAAAATCCTGAAATGTAGAAGGATAAAATAAAGAAGGACGAAGTATGAATATAATACAATATAATAATTAATAATATATTATTAATAATATATTATTAATAATTATATAATATAAGCCTTGTATATGAACTATTTTCTTGGTTTAACAATGGTGGATTAAAAGATGTCGGTGTCGTCTCTTAAGCTCGATATATTAAGCGATGTCGTTTAATGGTGGTTACATTCTCATTAATTGCGTTAGAGTTACCTACGCCTGTAACTAATATGGCCAAACTATCAAGTAGTATATAAGTGGAACAACATGTGAACCAGTTCACTGTAAGTATCCTGTATCCTATATCTATATACATACACGAATACTTTGATTAAGTTCGATATTAATTCTCCTACCACTAGGATTTTAGAATTAACTTAAGAAAAATATTTATGATTTGTTGCTATGTTTTTCTTATCGATTTAAGAACTTAAGTTGAATTGCACGAAAAAAGAAATGAAGATGAAGCCATAGGTATCATATTTTTATGACTAATAAAGTTAAAACAGAATGAGATAGAATTAGAAATAAGCAAATAAGGTAGTAGCTAAATTTTAGTTGGACGACAATATGAACAATATGAGGCCAATTTTAAAAACTCCATAAAGGTTTCAGGAAACCAAAGGAAAAATATTTTCAGATCATTAAGAGACCCTTATAAAAACGCCTTAAATTACTAAAAAAGGGTATTGAAGAAGATGAGGAACCGGTTACTTTTCATAATTTGTCATATCAGTGGTTACTTTACTGTACATTTTTTCTTAACCATTGATTAATAATCTTTCGTTATTTATTATATCCAGGTTAGTCGTACAATCTAAGAAAAAGACTTGCCCAAATTGAAAAGCTCGCGTATTTTAAATTAAATACGTTACCTTAGTTTTTGGTCGCAATAATATAATATTTTAT